CTGGCCCTGTCCATCGCCATCACCTGTATCACCTGTATCCCCGTTGATCATCGTGTTGCACGAGCGGGTACCAGTGATGCCTCCATTCATCCCTGTCTCGGGCGATTGTTGACCAATGTTTACGTATCGCACCAGAACACGTGGAACGCTCTGAAGGACTTCATTAAAAGACTTCGTGAACATATCTGACCATCGCGTCGGCGGTCTTCCTCGTTCGCGTTTGACGTCCAGTGGTATCCAATCTGTTACAGCTCTCGTCCACCGGTTGTCGTCGAAACGCATTACGTGCCCGGCCCATCTTATCTTGTTCTGCTTGGCGTACGCGGCAGCGTCCCTGATCTTCGATCGTTGACGTAGGGTAGAACTTCGTAATCCTTGCCTCACTTGCGTGAGTCGATTCACTCCTAGCATCACTCTCTCAACAGCTCGTTCGATGACGCTAACCGCGTGTTCATCCTGCTTTCTCATTGTCCATGTTTCTGAAGCGTACGTCAAAGCAGGAAGAACCGTCGAGTTGAAAAGGTGGGCGCGGAGCCGGATGTTCTTGGTCTTCTTCACTACGTCCTCAATTGTCTTATATGCTCCCCATGCTGCACGTTTCCTCCTGCTCAGTTCCGGAGCTAGATCGTTCATCATATTGAGCTCACGACCTAGGTAGGTGTAGCTTGAGCATTCGGTGATGTTCGTCCCGTTGAGCATGAAAGGAGCATCAGGCACTCTTCCGTTCCTCATGAACATCGTCTTCGTTAGATTCAGCCGTAGACCGGTCTTTCCACACACTTCGTCAAACTGGGCCAGCATTTGTTCCGCCTGCGTGATGCTTGGTGTTATCAATACGATGTCATCAGCAAAGCGAAGGTGGTGTAGCTGCCGGCCGTCGACTTTCACTCCCATGTAGTTCCATTCCAACTTACGCATGACGTTCTCCAGAGCGGCACTGAATAGTTTCGGCGATATAATATCGCCTTGTCGCACGCCTCTCTTCACGTCAATGATGATGTCCTTGTAGAATGGTGTTATGGTGGTTGTGAAGTCGTTATACAGCTCACGAATTATCTTGATGTAATGAGTCGGAATACCTTGATTGCTCAAGGCATCCATGTCCATCGCCATGGATGGTTACAAATAACAAGAAACGTGCTTAAAATGTCCATAATTGTCTAATCCGCCTTATTGTACTCCATCGAATTTGCGACATTTCTGTCTACCCTGTGGCTTCGGGCTTGTATCTCCGGACCATTCACGTTAATGGGCAGAATCAGCGTGACCGTTTCTACCTTCTGGAGCAAAATTCTCGCTTTGAATCTCATCTTTTGCAGCGATACTTGGGCGACTACTCAGATGGGGACCTGCCTGTAATAATATCAAAATTTCATCACCTTTGATTTAGATAGGCGATCCCTTGAGGGGAAACTAGAGGCCGTATAGGGATAATATTGAGAAGTTTGGAAGACTTTCGATTCGATCAAGCTAACGTATCGCTAAGTGTTACTTTTAGTGCTCAATAATGTCAAATTCTTCTTCGGGGTAATGGTTCGGTTAATGAAATTGTACTTGAATTGCTGCCAGAGAGTGACTTATTTTACTAACTAGAAAAATCTGTTTGGTTGGTCTCTCCACACGGCACTAAATGTTGAAAAGCATCAAACGCTGGCTCCATATCTGTCTTCACTATCTGCCAAGCGCCTTTGGACCTAGAGTTATGAGCGTTTTCTGTGTTAGATGTGCTCAGTTGGAACGGAGTTCCTCAGAAATGCTCCTATGTTAATTATCAGAGCACTTCATTCAAAGAATACCGCCTGTTCAAAACATTCATACCCAACACTGCTCTGTTTAAATGCTGAAAAGATTATAACATTTGATTTTACCTAGATTATGTGTTCATTCTTCGCACCAAAAATATTTATAACTTGACCAATGAAATCGGCTCTGGAATCAGCGTTCAGTACTTTTCAAAGTGGTATAGGACTCATTCTAAAACACCACTTCAACTAAATGGACCCCTTGTCAGTAGAAAAGAAAGGGAATTTGAAGATAAATCGAGATCTGGCGCCCTCACGAATTTGAAAGAGTCGTTGTGCAGGCTGCTGAGGGGTAGCCGTCAATAGTTAAAATATCAAAATTTTAAAATTCGGTGAGACTTTGCATAGTGAGGTTATTCGACCTGCCAAGCACGAGTACCATATTTATTTGTTGAAACAGAGCCTCTTTTCGTGTTCAAGAAGAGACGCCTTGCCATAAACTACCGTAGTCTCATAAAAAAAGGACGCAAACTTAGTACTGTCTTCATGATTAGCATGACCTCTACAACAAGTTTCAGCCAAATCTGTATATTCTGTATATTCTATATTCATCCATGTCAACCTTTTGGTACATCGAGTAGGTTTTCTGCTTAATATAGCGTGTTTGCACTGTAGATGAAATGCGGTAGATGCGCGTGAAAATATATTGAGGGGAAAATCTACTCGACTGTAGCTAGTATTTTCTAGATCTCTAGCCATTTTGACACCCCCAGTACAAACAGAAGACAAAAGTCAAGAAATGCTACGCAGGATGACTTTTTATGACAATGTGAGAAAGAAGAAGATACACAAAGCTGGAGATGCAAGAACAAGATACACAAAGTTGGAGATGCAAGAACGAAATCAAAGTCCAAGGAGGCTGCCGCGCTCCGCGGACAAAAGCCTGACCAAGGGCGACGTGAGCCAAAGTCAATAGCTGTGCGCCTCGAATACGTCCTGCAGGACACCTCATGCGCCCAAGTAAAGTGGTTTAACTGGAAAGTCAAAGGCAGCGTTCAGGCAGAATCTCGATATCTATTTTTTGCCTTATCCAGGCCTTTTCATGGTGCTGATTTCGAATACGGAACCCAAAATGCGTGAATTCATCAAAAAATCCCTTTTTGAGACAATTTTGTGAGAAGCGTGCACAAGTGCTTTTAACGTAATCCTTGTCGAAAGCAAGTATCAACAGATAGGCACTATGTGTTCCATTGTGTTTGCCACGTGGAAACAGACTAGGGCTGAGGTGAGTTCAAAAACCATTATTCGTCGGAATCCGGCGCTGACCTTAGCTACACTATATAGCTAACGCGACCGTAAAAGGCAACCCGGCTGCCTCTTACTTTTCCATTGATCTTACTTATCAGATCATAAAGTGGTCCTGCATTTGATATGATTTGTTGTTTATCCTCTGGGTCGTATATATAGCTAATCATTTCGCTATCCGTATTCAAGTAATGAATGAGGACCTAAGTTTACTAACAACTGATGTTGATAGATGACGTAGAAGTATCATGTACGAATTCTTTTTGTTGTTAAGGATTTCAACGTAAGACTGTCACTGGTAAGGATGACTTCATCTCCCTGAATGTACATGTTTTGGGAAGCCGAGGTTCACTAACTTCATCAAATAAAACCCTTTTATATTCTAAAAAGTTATTGGGATATCTCGATAATGATAAATTCCATGAGATATCTTAGAGAAACATCAATTCCTTAGTATTCCCACGTTATGGTATATTGGGAGAGTCAAGATGAGGAGTATTTTCAATACCGTGGCAAGACCAGAGAGTAAACAAGAGAGAATCTAGTCAGGATGACCTGATGATGTAGTAAGTAAGATTCATACTCTGACTTTCGTTGCGTACCAGCGGCGTTCGATGCGCGTTGGAGCGGAACACGCAAACGCCGCTGGTAGGGCAGTCGCACGCCGCTTGTACGCTGTGGGACTCCGCTGGCAGGAGAATGGTACGCCGCTGGTACGCCAAGAGGATGGATATGATTTCATTAGAGGACCGCATTACCCGATATTTGTCTGCAGCATCAGCTGGCTTGGAAATTGCTATATCGACAAGTTCCATGAAGCCGAAATTAGCGCAAAAATTCGATCGACATATACATATATGTAATAAGTAAGATTCATAGCCAAAGGAAAGATAAGAGGCAGCTGGGTCGCCTTTTATGGTCGCGTTAGTCATATACTGTAGCTAAGGTCGGCGCCGGATTCCGACGGATAATGGTTTCTGGAGAGTTCAAGGAGGCGGGCCGTGCGAGGAAGTGGGCGTGGTCGGCAAGGCTCGGCATATTTTGCGCCTATTTTCTCCTTTTACATGTGCTGGATCGCAGCACCCGACCAAGCACCCGTAGGTCAACGTTCACTCCGCCGTTATAAAAGGGGAGCGGTATTATCGACAAATCAGTCTTATCGTTTTGCCGTGCACTGAGCCCGTTTGTTATTTTTCCAGGTCCTTTTTTATCTTATTAGGTTCCTTCCTTTGTTCGTATCCTAGGTTCTGTTTTTCCTCATCTCTACGTCAGTATGTTTGCCACACTTAGGAGTATCCATATCCTCATTCATTCACGTTGTCATCCTTAGGTTCTGTTTTCATATCTCTATGTCACTTTGTCATGCCTAGAAACATACATAATCCTTTATTCAATTGTTGCCATTCCGAGTTTCTATTTGTATTTTATACGTATTTCGTCGTTGCTGTTCGTTGTTTCGTTGGTTAACGAATGAGTTTAATAATATAATACGTCCACCACCTCCTGCAAATTGTAGGTTACATATCTCTCGGCCATGATGAAATCTACCCGTTTCTGGTCACTGAGATCCATGCGGCGTTCGCGCTTGTATCTTTCGTATCGTATCCTGCCTTCAGCGAAACGTCTGCACGTTTCCCCTTTGAGCGTGTGAGGGCCGGCGCATAGACTGTGCCGATGCGTTTGAGAACTTCGCTAAAATCTACTGGTGTTGATGGGACGTCAATGTCAAACGCTATTGTTTCGGCGACAAACCGGACCACTCCAATATCATTGGCTTGGGCAAATCCTAACAAGGTATTTGTGAACTACGCTATGGCCGTGTTCGTCGAGGCGGTGACTATGACCCTTTGCTCTTGTTGTGCCTGATATATGCTATGCTAGCGCCAACTACTGTTTTCCCAGTTCCAAAGGCTGCTTGCAGCGCGATCAATGGGTATCTGCTATTCCCTAGAATCAGGGCTTCTTGTTGGTCCTTGGTGAGGTGTAGAAGGCGACGTGGATTGTGACCGTGTCGATGACCGGGACTTCTTCCACTTGCGCTGCCTCTTCTTCCGTCATACATCCCAGTGTGGTCGCTCCATAGGCGAGGTCGATAAGCATAGTGTCTCCTCCCGCTTCTCGAAGATCCTCGTGAATCTTCATTCGTGCTATTGCCTCAAATGCCGGGTTGGCCTTTTCTGGAATTCGCGCAAACTTGACATATAGGTCTAGGAAGGCAGGAGTTCCTACCATACTTCCGACTCCGCGTACCTCTTGTACCATGGTGTCGTGAGTCTGGATGTAAGCTGATAAAACCATGCTTTCTGGTAAGAATGTGGCCTCCTCGATTTCGACCTTGGTATATCGTCCTGCGCCTCTGTCCATACGGAAATAGGTTGGTGCTTTCTCCATTCAGTTTCTGACGACATATCCGGCAGGGTGATCTCTATTTGCAGAGGATAGGACGTGAGTGATGGAAAGGTGCTGGTTATTCTGTGAGTCCTGTGGTCATCATACATTGTGGTGTAGGCGGCCAGAGCAGCACAAGCCATGCTGTAGACATTAAACATCCGTCTGATGGCCTGGTCATGTTTGTCGATCAGGTTGTTGAACGGACCCGTTCTGTCGCAAAACCGTTCGGCATCATCATCTTGGGCCTTCATAACTGCCAATGTAGCCATACCCTCATCCGGATACGCGGGGAAGAAGTACTCCACTTGTCTGCACAACCATCTCGTGCCGTCCGGGATGCTGGGGGCTCCGAGAAGCGTACTGCTGAAGATACTTGACGTCGACTCTGAGAGAAGAGGATCTCGTCTTCTTGGACCTGCGGCCACTCGAACTTACACAGAGACTTCGTGATTGTTACTGCTTCACCTGCTCCCTCGATGGCCAGCTTGAAGTTGTTAGCAGTGTTTAGAAATTCGCCTCTACGGGCGGGGTCCAGTACGACGGCGCTATGGCGTTCCGACCAGACGGCTGGGGTGACGAAGGCAAAGTTGCAGCTCGGAAGAAGAACGCGGAATTGATTTTGAGGGCTGCCGTGCGCGGTTCTCTAGAGAGTTGGAGACATCGTGTAGGGGAACGCAGTGCCTATGGTAGGAGAGACATCATAGACCCATACGAAGTCCTTCATCGAGACTAAAGCTTTGTCGTAACCGTACGCGTTGTTCTCGATGTTGAAGGAGAACTGGTCTAACAGGATGCAGTGTAGTTTGCGACGGTCCGGCATAAAGACGAAGAAATCCTTGGCTTCCAAAACGAGGTTTTTGGATGCGATGGCTGCAACTTGATAAAGCACCGGATATGCCCTTTAGTTTGGGTGGTAGAAGGATCGATGATCGCACTCTTTTGGGGGCTTTTGTCCGTTCTTGGGGTACAGGTTGCGCGTCACCCCGTAGAGTTGTTTCTAACATTCTCTGTGATTTATCTCGGAAAATAATGGTGTCCTCGAGGGTTGAAAACTCGATGAAAGGTAGAGTCGTTGATACTTGTTTCATGACTGGTGGTACTCCAGGAAACAATGAACGTACAAAAGATGATGACATGTTTAAGGTGGGGAACCTGTCTGTATGTGTCTTCCGGCAAGACATTGGAGATCTGAGCTTCGGTGAGGTCTTCGCGAAGAAGTGGCCGTGGTTTGACGTGGCGTGTCCATGGGTGCATGCCCATTAGATAATGCCAATAGTCATCTGGGGTTCGTCGTTGTAGCCATTCGGCTTGCGCAGGCCCTCTTGCAGGGTGCTTAAATGATTTTTGTCTACGTGATGACGGATAACGACGTTTTCTACTGTGTTCGTCTACCTGTGGCGGTCGATTGATACGCTGTTGGTCCTGTGGAGGCTGTCTGGGCGGTGGAGGGTTAAGCGCGGTGGGTTGAGCTCGTGATGTCGAGGGAAGATCCACTGATTGCTGTGGAAACGATATTGTCGGTCGAGTGCCACTACGTGGCGGAAGTGATTGTTTACCTGTAATGTCGCAAGAACGAATGCTGATGTAAGCGAGGCTGTATCTATAATGCGTGAGGAGTCACTCGTGGCTTGTATGTCTGGGCCGACAGGTAGGTGTTGAGGTACGTCGAGGGGGCGGGTGTTGTCTGTGGATTGCCACTACGTGGCTAAAAAGGAGTATTACCTAAATTGCCAAAGTTAGAACTTTTAGGTATTGCTAAGGAAGTATTCATGTTGGCTGGTGACTCACACCAGGCTTGAATTTCTGGATCACTGACTAGCAGCTCGTCTGATGCGAATGATGGTGTTCGCGAGGTTTTAACTGCCGTCGCTACGTGTGTGTCGGTAGTTGCCATTTCATGGCTGCCCTGGGGACTGTCACTGGACGTGCCGTCCCGAGGCTTGTCCGCCGAATTTGAAGATTGTTGGACGAAAGAATAGGAATGGAAACATTAACAGTCGCGAGCGCTTTGAGCAGTGAGCGCTATCTGAAACGATAAACCTGAGTTGAATGCTGATATGAGGGACGCGATGATGACGATGAGCGTGCGCATGTCAATTGTGAAGCATGGAAACAGAAACGGGTGCGGATTGATGACACGTTTACGTGAAAAGTGAACTGTGGAGGACAAAAGAAAGGGGATAAAACAGTCAGGATGTTGTAAAATGCTGTAAGTTGAAGTAGATGATAATTAGTCCTATGAGACTCCGTAAGATTCAAATAGATTGCATACGTGCCCTGAAACGTGTATTGTATGGGTGCGAAGGTATGTTTGTGTCACGTAGAAATGGTTGTTGGTCTACAGTATGCGTGTACTCGGAGACTGTTGCCTCGGTTGCTTCGGCTTCCGTTAGTGCGGTCTGTTCGTCGTTAGGTGCCCAAGGGGTAGCGAAAACCGGACCTGAAAGTTCGATGCAACGTTCCACTTAATTCATATGCACTCGCTTCGGCGACGCTTGCGGTGATGTATGCTGGTTATAATGAGGTGGGGATGCTCGATTTTGATTACTCTGAGTTGACCTAAGCATGGGTATTGTAGTTTTGGGGAAAGTCCCGGTTGGAGAGTGAAATCCTTGATGTAGACCCGATCCGCGACCTTAATTGACAAGGGTTGTAAATGAAATGTATCATACTGCCTTTTGACTTGTATCGCGTATTTCTTGTTGAATTCTGATGCCGATCGCCATGCGTGATGGAGAGTTGAAACCAAATGGTGAATGTAGACGCGCGTTTCCACATCGACTAATATGTGTTTTTCTGCTTGATATTGCAGCATGAGATCAATGTTAAAGACTGGGTCGCGAGCGAACATCAAAAAGAACGGTGTATCGTTTGTACTGGAGTGTGTGGTGGTGTTATACATGAACGCGCAAGCTGGTACGAACTTGTCCCACGTTTCTAAAGATTCGCTAACGTACGTTCGCAGTAGGGGGTTGTATAGTATCTATCAATGCGCAGTAGCTTACCTAGTTCTGCCATGACTTCCCCTCGGAAGTATGGTGCGTTACCTGAAATTAGTTGCGACATAACCCCATACTTAAGGATGCAGCGATCCATAATAGCTTGTGCAACGGTAGTAGCTTTGCAGTTTGGGAGAGCTACTGCTATCACGTATTTGGAGAAGTGGTCAATCATGGCTAGAATGTAACGGTTGCCCGCGAGCGAGGGGTGAAAAGGTCTTGTGAGGTCCATGTATACTTTGTCAAAAATCGCGCCGCTAAGTACCTGACGGAGTTTTTCTTGGTACATCGGGTTTTCCCGTTTCCGTTGACATTCATCGCATGCCCGAACTAGTTTATAAACGTCTTCAGCCATATGTGGCCAAAAATATTTTCTAGATATTTTCGCTAGAGTTTTACGCCAGTAAGTGTGACTCGCCGCGGAAGGACTATTATGAAAAGCCAGGAAGACTGGTTCTCTAAGCTTCGTGGGGACAACTAACTGGCTGACGTTGTACGACCCACCTCACTTGGCAGAACGATGGTGTATGCATCCATTCTTTCCAATGGTGCACTGTTCGGCTAGGCTCAACCAATGAATTTTGTCGTTGTCGGTCGGGAATTCTGGCACTCGCTCTGTTTCTAAAAAAGTCGAGGATTTTTGCACAAAAATCGTCTTTTTTCTGTTCGAGTAAAAGATCATATGGTTTAATGGCTATCGGTGTGTTGCTAGAGATAGTGGGAAGGGCTATAGGATTTGTGGTTAGACAACATGGGAAGTCAATGATGTCTTCAGATTCAGGATGATCATCCCGGAATGCCTGCGATGGATGAGATCTTGACAGATAATCAGCGATGACATTAGATGAGCCTTAGGTAATCTATAGCAATGTCGTAGCTCTGCAACTCCACAGTCCAACGCGCAAGGTTATTATGTGTTTTATTATGTTTGAGAAGATATGTGAGGGGTCTGTGGTCGGACAAAATGGCGTGCTATCGCCATAGATGATGGGTTTAAAGAAACGCAAAGCACTGATCATGGCGAAGAGTTCGATGTGCGTGGGACTCCATCTGCGCTAAGTCTCTGAAAGTGTTTTGCTGAAGTAACCTATGACTGCTATGTTCGTTTTCTGTTTGTTCCTGCATTAAGACTGCCCACTGCCGTTTGATACCGTCTGTATGCAGTAAAGTCCTTATCTTGAGGAAAAGCTAGGCAGGCCTTAGAAGACAGACTAGTTTTGAGGCTTTCAAATGCTTCCTGGTGTGTTGGTGTCCACAAAAAGGAGAATCCTTCTTTAGTTAGGTCGTTCAGTGGGGCCGCAGTTCTCGCAAATTGTGGTATGAACTTCCTGAAGAAATTAGCCATACATACAGGAAACTTTTTACTTCTTTGGCGGATTTTGGTGCCGGACAGTCAAGTATAGCTTTGTCGTTTCTAGTTCCTGGACTGTATGAACTTTGCGTGATCTCCCTAGGAAGGTGATGGATGAACGCGCTATCTCTGTAAACTTCTTTGCAGATATTTTGATGTCGAAGGTTCGAAAACGCTCAAAAACTTTCCTCAAGAATACTAAATGACTCGGAAAATCCTTGTTAAAAATGACGACGTCATCGATATACGCCAGACAGTTTTCCTCGAGTCCTGCCAGTTTTCGTGCCATCGCTCGACAGAAATAGGCACCCGCGTTCCGCAACCCGAAAGGGAGGTAACTGATAAATCCCTCTGTGTGTTGCCCAGCAGCACTTATACTGGATGTCCGGGGACAAAAAAAGCTGCATATATCCGGATGCCAAATCGAGCGTGGTATAGTATTTGTTTCCTGCAATTTTCGCTAGTAAATCTTCGATGCGCGGCAATGGATAATGGTCCGGGATCGTGATTCCGTTTAATGGCCTAAAGTCCAAACATACACGTAACGATCCGTCTTTCTTCTTAACTAGGATCGTGTTATGTACCCGCGGAGTATCGCTTTCTGCGATTCGCCCAGTCTGGAGTAGCTTATTGATGTGGAGGTCTAATTCTTTCTGAAATTTGACTGATATCCGTGTTGGGCGGAAATTGGTGGGTGGAATTTCTGTTGTGGTGCGGATGCGAATCTGTGAGGTGTGATAGGATCCCAGATCGTACGAGGAAAACGAGAACCTGTCGCTATATTCATGGAAAAGATCGAGGAGTGTCTGTTTTTCCGCATCTTTGGCGGCGATCCCGGAGAGTTCGACTTGTAATCGTGGTATTTCTCCATTTGCGTGGTCCATAGAGGACAAAAATTGCATGGTGCTTCTTTCAATGGCAGAATTGCAGCATAATGTGGGTGTTATCTCACTGCCTTCTGCGACTTCGACTGCGGACGCTATCGCCTGATTTTTATATATGACGTGCAGGTTGTTAGTAGGATTGGTGACGAGCACCCGGCAAGTGCCGAAACTACCGCGGGAGATATCAGTAGGGCGTTGTTCACTAGTGGTAAGTTCTGGCTGACGAGCATGTAGGAGGCACCATACCCGAGATGACGCAAAGTACAAACGTTTCAGGTGCAGGATGTATTACCGTTGTTGCTGCTGCGCGGCCAATCGCCTTCTGCTTGCCCTGATTGTCTAAGCCTCAAGATGTGAAAATGCTTAATATAAAGTTGCCGCAATGGAAGGTATGTTCTTGGTAGTCAATGTACCATCGTGGTAAGGTACTGAGCAAGTCGTTACCGAGAATTATGTTGTAGGTTCCCGCTAATTTTGAAATAGCTGCTCCCTCTGTAAAATACGTTAGATGGGTTATGACAAAAGAACCAGTTTCGAATTCTAATCTTTGGCTTCCCAGTAATTTGACTGGGACGCCCAACATACCGAGTGCACACGGTATTTGAGGTGGTAGCAAATGGAAGATCCCCAGCAAAGGTGCCATTTCCTTGTTGATTATGGTGATAGCCGCCCAGGTGTCTATCAGGGCAAGCATATGGATGTTATTGACAATGACTGGGATTTGTGCTACGAAGAAGTCTTCTTCTACGTCACCTGCGCTCAAAAGTCTGACTGGTGTCAGCGTTGCTCGTGGCGGCCATGCTCGTGTAGCGTCGATTTCTACGCAAGCTAAATCTAGAGGAGGTTGGGTGTGAGATTGAGGGGTGGACCAATGATATATAAGTGGAGCAGGACTCAGAGTGGATACCGTAGCAGGTGGTGCAGCCTGCTCTTGAGCTACCTGTATGGCACGTGACGCACGAATGAATGCAGGAAAATTGAGCTGGAGATATAGTGCCAATATTCGTTTGAACATGGCGAGAGATACCAGTATACAACATTCGGTGACCCATAAGTCAAAGAGGCTAATGCTCGGAAAAAGCAAATTGGCTACAGAGCTTGTGTTAGTATCTGTTGCGTCAGTTGGAAGTAGTCTGCGAGTGGGTCCACGACCCTAAGTGTGAATAAAGTTTTTTGTGAGAGTATGCTTGCCATATTTCACGGATCTGGCCGTCTGTCGTTATCTCGCTCCAGTTAGTAAGTATCAAATTATGAAAAATGGGCAGTGACGGTAATGAACTCCATTTGGGATTACCTGTAGACCACGAGAGTGTGTCGATTTGGTCGGCGCGAAGAGGGAGATACATGCCCCGCTGTGTGTCAAACAAGAATCTTCCAGTAGCATTAGTGAAAAAGAAGAATTGGACCGTAGAACTTGGTACCTTGTTCGCCTCCGGAAGCATCACCCTCGTAGCCGGATCAAGAAAACCAGAAAGTCGCGTTTTGGGCAACTGGAGCGACATACTACGGAATTTATCGTAACAGGTATCGTTAAAGAAGAGCAATTCGTATTGGGACGGAGGAATACGCATGCACCGATGAACCTGTACTACCTCGTGCCCTACATATGTTGCCGAAACATCGGAGCGACCGAGGGGTTCGCGGATAGCTATTGTAGGGTTCCGGGCTAATGTAGAGTGGAAAGTCGCTGCTAGGATATTAACGCGTTGGCAAAATGTTAAAAAAGAATGTTGAAAAAGTGCCAAGGCCGATTCTTGCGCTGAGTCTTCTACCGCTAAGAGCTGGGCTGCCAACTGGTTAGATGTGACTATTCCTGCTTCCACGGCTCGTCTATGTCGCGGTTTACCCTTAGCCATGAAGGCGTAGCCCTGATCGGTAACGGTAAGCTTGCTTCCGCAGTTCCAAAGTGTCCTTGGCTCCTCTTCCAAGGATAAGGCTAGCTCTTTGGAGTCACTAATCCAGACCTGCCCCATAAGATGGCCACTCATAGTTCCTATAGGGATAAATTGGCATGATTCCTCCTTACCTGGTGCCCATGAGACGACTGATCCGTCGTCGAGGGTGCACCGGTCATCGGCATACTTACAGTGGTGCAAGTCCCCCACTGCCGACTCTGGGGCCGCAGATCCATGACGTGTATAGATCAATGTGGGTACCAAGTAGCACTTAGTAACTGATAAAGTGTGCCGGAAAGAACAGCCAAAGGGAGCGGATGGCCAGTCAATCACGAGTTTGTTAGCTGTGGCATAGATACCGTTAGAGAGTTGCAAGGACCCATATTTGCAGGAATGATGTTGAATCATGAGTTTACAATGCTCCGCCGTTACAGTTTTTGTAGTTTCCGTCTGTGTTTGCCAACGAGCCCCGAAAAAATTTACAGAAAAGGATGCGGTATGTACTACGTTCTTACACATATATGCTGAGGTATCGTATCTCTTGGTGTTTGGACGATAGAGGCGCATGCTCAATGCCTGTGAGTTATTGCGATAGGTTGGTACGAGTCGCGAGCAATTAAAAGAGGTTGGCACACGTACCATGCAATCATTAGGTTGCGAGGGACAGAGCCAAGCTTCTTGTGCCTGAGAGCCTACTGTGAGCGAGCAGAGGACGAGACAACAAGCGAAAAAAATCAATGCTGGGAGAAGACCGTGGAGAAGAGGAGAAAGCGGGACGAGATAATTCTTGGTTACGTTGCAATAAAGCTTCAATTCTAGCATTAAATTGTCGAAGAGCTTCCTGACTTTCTTCTAGAGAGAGAGAGTGAGGGCGTTGACTTTTTGCTGCGTGCTATTCAAAAAACGCCTTTATGAGTAATCTTGCGTGAGGTAAAAGGAAAGGAGATACCGAGGATGAAATGTAAGAACGAACAAGAGAAGCACGTTTAGGAAAAAACCGCTGACTTGTACTCCTGCGTTTCGCCGACGGACATTGCTTGGCCAT